TCTTCTAGGAATTGCCAGATGACAGGTTAATTCCATATAGAATACAAGATTGTGATCGGAACATATTGTTCTCTGAAGACCATTTGATTTTTCCATAACTTAGAGATGTGAAATTTTTTAGAATGGGTGTGCTCCATTTCCTTAGAATCCAAATATACGCCCTATAGGAACAGAGATTAAAAACCTAATTTTTAAGAGTTCTAAGTTTTTAAATATTATATTTTTTAGAGGTGGCTTTAATCAATGTTTCCTTATTAGTATGGGCCTAGATAAGAGTAAAGCTTTTCAGTTCCTGTAAACTACAGCCATGGCTAACAGAAAAGTCAGCGCTAAAACCAGGATATATGTGTATATATGTATATATTCTTGTTTATAAAAAAACAAAATAGGAAGGGGGGCAGAGGAAGCTCCTGTAAGGGTGACATGGGAATCAAACTATCTTAATGTCTGTACAGTTTTTCCTTTGCATAAGGGGATGAAGGCTGATAAAAGTCTCCTTAAGGCAGTGTGGGGTGTTTAGTGTATCACTCAATTTATGGAGTTTAAGATTAGGAAGAAGCATAAATACAATTTTTCTACATGCTGATTTTTTTACAGATTCAAGTTTCCTTCCAGATTTTTTTAACGGCAAAGGCATTGTGATATGCAGCTAATTTTAAATAGCTTTTTAAACATTTTTGGACCTCTGTAGTGAACGGAAGATACAGAAACACAAATAATTGAATCTGTTAATTTGCCTGGTTGTGGTATGCTGTGATGTTTATTAGGCCTTAGTTTGCCTCTTCAGTTGTTGAGGCAAAGAATGCTTTTGTGTTAACAACTGGGAAATGCTTTAACTATAACCAGAACTTCATAGAAGTGCTTGCTAAATTTTGTATTTGTTACCCTAATTGTAGTGAAGTTGAAAAGTTGCAAAAAAACGTTCTCAAATTTCAGAAGGTTCTAAAGCAAAAGCAAACAAGGCAAATGCAAGTCCTGAGGTGTTTCTGAGTGGAACACCCTCGCCACCACCCCAGCACTGTAACTTCTTCAGGACAAAGATGCTCTTCAATAAAATGGTATTTTTAATCACGTGATAATGACTGGCTTTGATTTTGTCTTGCATGTTCTCTGAAAACTGTAAATGTTTTCTCTTGTCCAAATCAGGTCCAAACCACCCAAGAGAGATGAAAAGGAGCGGAAGAGGCGGAGCCCATCACCCAGACCCACAAAAGTGCATGTTGGAAGGCTCACTAGAAACGTGACCAAGGTAATAATAGCATGTACCCCTGTAGTCAAACATTCAAGTTCTTCTCTGAGAATGCGTGAGTTGCTCTTTCAAAGCTCTTGAAACTTTTTGGTTACTAGAGAGTTACCAAGGTGTTGATGTTGGATATTGTTTCTTTGTGTCCAGGTTGATCAGCGAGGAAAATTTTGGTAGGATTTTACCAAATCAAATACCCTGAAGGTTTCTGAGACTCTGTAGTGCTTAAGAAGTCTGCCTGTTTTGTCAGTATTCCAGACCTTATATCCTGCTTTACTAGGAAGAAAACTATAGAATTTGGGACAACAGCTGAAATTACCTTGGAGGCATAAAGAATATCAGGCAGTTTTTGATAAAGGATCTGCAGAGAGCTGGGCTGGCTTGAGTTGTCTTTGCTAAAATGTAGTTTAAAGGTCTTCAGGGGTAAAAGGCTTAGGCTTCTGAAAAAATTATATGCTGTGGATTTACTGCTCTGTGCCAGCCAGACCTGGCTAGGGAGTGTGCTCTGTGTTCATAAGGCTTGCTCTCTCTCTTCAGGACCATATCATGGAAATCTTTTCCACTTACGGAAAGATTAAAATGATTGACATGCCAGTTGACAGGCTAAACCCACACCTCTCCAAAGGTTATGCTTATGTGGAGTTTGAGAACCCAGATGATGCTGAGAAAGCCCTGAAACACATGGATGGAGGTAAGTACTGACGTGCAAGGAGCCTAGGGGCTTTTAAAAATCTTCAGAGTAGATGGATTTGATCAGAAAATTAGTTAAAGGTGATAGGGATGTCTTTAGTGAGCTGATGTAAAGTACTGTCAGTTTTCAGCCCAAATGGCTTTTTTGTGGTTCAGGATAGATTCAAGAAATCACAGAACTATTAAAACTAATCTGTTTTTAAAAACAGTGAAAAAATTATTTTAAGCTTATATGAAAACTTCTCCAGGTTTACATCTGAACTGCAGTTTGGTGGGATTAGGTAAAGAAGTCTAGTAGGTGTGTGGACTTTGTCAGAATAGCCCCTGAGCAGGGTATGGAGCACCATGGGCTGATCCTACTTCAGTTGCTTTTGACAAAGCTGTGAGCAGTAATATGGTATGTATATGTTAGTGTTGAAAAGTGCTTCTTTCTCTTTCTGCAATTCTCTAAAAAGGCCAGATTGATGGTCAGGAGATCACAGCCACAGCTGTGCTGGCACCACGGCCTCGACCACCTCCCAGACGCTTCAGCCCCCCCAGGAGGATGCTGCCACCGCCGCCGATGTGGCGCAGGTCACCCCCTCGCATGAGGAGGAGGTGAGAGCTGGGACAGCACTTTTCTTTCTCACTAGCAACTCGTTATCACTGAAAGATTTGGCATGGGGACAATCCTATTGGACTTGACTTTCCCCTGCCAAGTGACAGTAACACATTTTGGGCATCAGTTGAACCTGGGTTGCAGTTCCTAACTCCTTAGCTCCAGGGTGCCTGCTCTGGTCTGCACCCTGAGCACAGTCTCTGGGAAAGGTCTCGTCATTTCCAGCCTGTTCCCTGGAGCCCCTTTGCATAAAGGCTTCAAGGTGAAGTGGGAACAGACTCTGGCTGACAGAGCACTTGTGGCAAGCTGTGCCAGTGTCTTGTTTTTCAGAAGCCCTTGTACCTCCCTCCCTTATTTCTGAATGGGCACATGACCAAAAAGCAGTCCTGTGTCAGGTCACTGGAGTACACTGGCCCCAAGGTGTGACCTGACAGTTGTGCAACTTGGAGCTGCCCGACTGTGCTTGGTTAAGTTGTTCTGAGTCTTCGGTGTTTACGTGTCTTCAAAATGTCTTACTTGTCAGTAGTAACTTGATTGCTGAACATCTTTGAGCTACAGGTTTAAAAATGAGCAGTAGTTACTCTTGCACAAGATCCAAGAGGCTTCTTGCTGCTCCTTTAAATACACCTTTGGCTGAGGTCTCACAGATTCAGGTTTGCCATTCCCTCCTCCTTTTGTTATCTTTTCTACTCCAACTTTTACTGTCCTGTTAAAGCTCTGTTAGTAATCTGTGCCTGGAACCTCTGTGTCATAGCAGTAGCTATACTGCTGTGACTGTTGGTTGTAGTACTGAGAAGCTTGAAGCTAAACTACTTCATGAATAAGCTTCCCCTAAGGTGCTTCCTTGTAATTTAAAAGGATTTGGATAAATCCTTCCCTTGACTATCACTCTCTCAGTAGTCAAAGATGACTTCAGGTGAAGGAGGATCTGATGTAGGATCTGAGCTCGTTTTCCTTGAGGAAGAAGATAAGTTTCTTGTCTGTTGTTCAGGTATTAATAATTTTTTCCGGCTCTTAAGAAGAGGGAGGATAACCACAATATTCCTGCTGTGTCCTCTCTGGTGCTGTTTTTGGCTCAAGCTCTTTTGCCATGATGTGTGAGGGATTTTGGCAGGAGGCGGGGAAGTGATTTTAAAAAGTTGGTAGCTGAGCTGACCAATTACTCGAACTGTTGCTTGTCTCCTAATGGAAGCTTTCTCCTCCTTCCCTGCCAGGTCCCGGTCTCCTCGGCGCAGGTCCCCTGTTCGCCGGCGATCCCGATCCAGGTCTCCTGGACGAAGGCGCCATCGCAGCCGCTCCAGCTCAAACTCCTCAAGATAAAGCAAAAGGACTGGACAGCTTTTTACTTTTTAACTTAAATCCCATCAGATGGAATATTGTACCTTTTTTTTTATAATGAGTCTGGGTGAGGAGGAGTGAGAGATAATCCTGGCAGTGAAGGCAACGTAAGAGGAGAGAGCACCAGTTCCTGGCCAGTAACCTTTACTGTGAGGCTTCTGGATTCCTGGTATTGAATTGAAATTATTTAAAAATGGCTTTGATTTTAAAGGCTGCAAAAACATCTTTTCCAGATACAGGGAGGGAAAGATATTTCAACCTCTGTTTCTCCACTTAGCAGCTGCTGCTTGGTGATTGTAAACGCTTAGTATGGTGTACAGACCAGCATGTAAATCTTAAGCTAGTTCAGAACCCCAGTGAGTAAGACAGTGAGCCACATACCTTGATCTCCAAGTGCCAGCACAGGACATTTCAGGGCAGCTGGAGCCCCAAAGCTGCCTGGGACTTAATTCAGAATTATTGCTTTATTCCAGTTCCCTAGATGATTAGTTTCTGCAGAGTAAGCTCTTCTGTAAAGTTTACACCAGGCAATCACCACAGAAACAATGGTCCAGCCCAGTGAACATGACACTATGTAGGAGAAGTTGGAAATCCTATGAAGTGTTCTGTAATTGCCCCCTAAGTGATTTCTTTCACATTTTTGTTGATGGTGTTGGTAAAAATTCCCTACTCAACCCACAGTGAAACAGTGTGAGCGTTTTCACAAATACTAAATGAGCGACTGAGCACCAACCCCTTGGAAACTGCAAAGCAGAGAGGAAGGCTTGAAGCCACGATGCTGGCTGGATTAACTGGGGTTTATACAAGGAAAGGCAAAAAATTTACCACCTGTTGTACAGTCAATACTATACAGATTTTTTTTTTGTTTTGTATGACTTTGTATCCTTTTGGGCCATGTTGTGTTTGTACTTGTGTAGGACAAGCAGTTACTGAATAAAGCAGTAGGGTTGAGAACGGCTGTGCTGCCTCGCTGCGTTACGGTGCGCGCGGTGGGGCTGTGGGGAAAGCCGGCGCGGGGCGCTGCCTCTTTAAGGGGGCGGTGCTCGTCCCTCCTTCCGTGGGCTGGCGCCGCTCATTGGCTGCTCCTCAGGGCAGGCGGAAGTGGGGCTGCTGCGTGCTCCCCTCAGCGTCATGGCGGCAGCGGCAGCGGCGCCGCCGGGGCCGGGACTCGATCTGGACCCGGGGCTGGGGCCTATCCTGCGGGAGGCCGTGGCGGCTCTGGACCGGGCCGGGGCGGAGGAGGGGCTGGCGGCGGCCCTGGGCGCGGTGCGCGCCGCTCTGGAGGCGGCAGGCGGCCCAGCCGCCCTCGGGGAGCGGGAGCGGGCGCTGTTCGGCGCCTTCCTGCGCAGCCTGGCCCGGGCGCCTGGCGCGGCGCGGCCCGAGGGCGTGTGGCAGCGCTGCTTCCTGGAGGGCCCGCCCGGCCTTGTCCTCTTCGTCTTGCTGGAGGCCCTTGGCTCCGCAGGGTCAGTCCGGCTCACCGGAGCAGGCAGTCGTGCTGGGGTTCCCCAGGGCTGGTCTCGGCGCGCGGCAGGGGTGCCTTTCAGCTGGGCTGAAGTGCGGAGGGAGACGGAGATATGGGTGAGCGCCGGCGGCCCTTGCCCCGCCCTGAGTGCCTTCAGACTCCACACGATGCTGTGCGTCCCCCAGAGTCACAGAACTCGGTCGTGGTTGTTGAAGGTCCAGAATGTTTGGAGCCGAGGAAGCTGCAGCTAAAAATATATTAAAATCGCTTTGTTTTTTTTTTTTTTTAATCCATTATAACAGAAAAGAGGCATTTCAGTGGTGATACCACAACTGAAAAGCAGTAGCATGTAAATTTTATTTTTACCATTTGAAAAAGGCAGGAACTTACACTTAATTTCTTCCAGCTCTGGCCTTGACCCGAGGGAGGTAGTTGAGGTCCTGGAGCAGTTCCTGCAGGAGGGCCGGTTGTCAGCGTTACTGTGGGAGGTCTGTCAGCAGCAGGCACAGGCGGGCTGCCCGGAGCTGCAGGAAGCCCTACTCAACAAGATCGTGTGTTTGCCTGAGCATGTGAGCAATAAACTCCAGGGGAAAAACCCACCAGTGTTCTTCCCACAGAACTACTTCCCTCTCCTGGGTGATGCAGTTCTCCAGGTGCTAGAGAAGATCTCTGACTGTCTGCGGGGTAAGGCTGCAAGGATGACTGTACTGTAGGGTTGCATTTTCTGAAGAAGTGTTTTGTGCATGGACCCCATGGCTGCTGCTTGGAATACAGATGATTAGTGTTACAGTGCCTCATGTTCCTCCTTGAGGCTATCCTAAAAGCATAAAGTCCCAGGAATGAGGAAGATGGCTGACGCCTGTTGGAATACACTGAAAGCAGTAATCCTCCAAGCAGTTAAACAGCTTAGCTGTGGTCACTTAGTGTGTGAGGAAGGAATTGTTTGGGAGATATGAGTGGTACTGAATCAACCAGTGGCATTGCTACCGGTGGCATTGCATTAAAGTGAGACTGAACTGCTTTAGCTTTCTGCCTGACACTGTAACTAATACTGAATGCTGGTTTGTGCCTGAAGGCAGGTAGTAGAGGGAGGAGGAGATGATAATTGAAGAGAAAAAGTTAATGTGTTTTCAGAATTCAGCACTTGTGGAAGTGTCTGCTCTTCCTACTGAAGGTTAGTTGGAGGATGCTGGTGCCACGCTTGTTTAAGCTCATGTCTGTTTTATCCCAGGTGGCTTGGATTGCTCCATCTCTTTTGTTTCTCATGTCCTGGGGAAAGTGTGCATTCATGGAAGGCAAAGTGAGTGTTTTACCATGCTCTTTTGGGGAGGGGGCAAATGTTTTAGTGTATTAGCATGGGAGGATAACTGTGATGATGATCAACGGAAGGATTGGGAGACCAACAAGTTAATTTGGAGCTGTTCTGAGTTGTGCTGCACAGACTGCCCTCTGCTTTCTGAGGCTGCTCAGCTGTGTCTGATAGATATTGGTGCTTTTCTGCTGGTTGATATGAATGGGACGTGTTCTCTCAAAAACTGATGGAGAGAACATCCTCATCAGGATGAGAATTGGGATGGGGAGATTCTCATTCTGCCATTTGGAGTATGACTACTAAATGTCTTTTAGTGCTTTTCGTGTCTGAAAGTGTTATGAATGCCAGTGTAAGTCCCTGCCCACATGCAGTAGCCATCTTGTTGGGAGCAGCCTTTGGTCTGGGTTTGCTCAGAACTTCAAAGCCACTGAATGCAGTAGTTAACAGAGCTGGGGAAGAAGAAGAAGGAAGATTTCTGGCTCTTTACTGTGATGAGGAATTCTGGCCAGTTCCGTAGGCTGCCTAGGTTGGTTCTTACCAGTAAGTTCTCCAGTTCTTGTTTGAGCATGAACAAAGAAGAGCAACAGAGCTGGGGGAAGGTCTGAAGCACAAGCAAGCTCAGGCTCAGCCTGGAGAAAAGGAGGCTCAGGGGGGAACTTCTCACTCCACAACTCCCTAACAGGAGGGTGCAGCCGAGTGGGGGGGGGGTCAGGCTCTGCTCCCAGGAAACAAGAAACAGGACAAGAGGAAATGGCCTCAAACTGTGACGGGGAGATTTAGATTAGATATTAAGGAAAACTTCTTCATGGAAAGGGTGGTCAGGAATTGGAAGAGGTTGCCCAGGGTAGTGATGGAGTCACTACCTCTGTGGAGGGATTTAAAAGCCGTGTGGATATGGCATTTGGGGACACAGTTTAGTGTTGGCCTTCGCAGTGCTGGGTTATAGCTGGACTTGATGGTCTTAGAGAGCTTTTCCAACCTAAATGATTCCCTGATTCTAGTCGTATTTCTACTGCAGGAGCAATTTAGAGCTGAAAACTGTTCGTTGTATCTTTTCATGTTGTAAAGATCTTAAAATTCTCAGGTCAGTCTCAAATGCTGTTGTACCAGTCCTACCCATCTGGGGTATTTACTCTTTTCTCTTGTGCTTCAGAGGAAATTCTGGGAGTTTTGGTGCCCCGCCTGACAGATCTCACCAAGTCAGACTGCATCTGGCAGAGGATATGCTGGCGGTTGGTGGAATGTGTGCCAGACCGCTGGATGGAAGCAGTGGTCCTTGGTTTTGTGCAGAGAGCACCTGGGTAAGAACTCTAAGAACTCTGCTTTCTCCCTGATCCACAGCAAAGGCAGGAATTGTCACAAATACTTGCAGAATTGGTCTCTGAAAGGTGCTGTATTTGTGTAGGTGGTTTTTTACACTGCCGTTTTCTAAAAGACTCAAAGGATTAAGTAGTTGCTTGTTGCCTCTTAGGGAGAACCTACGCAATTTCTTAAGTATCTACATCTTGACATGCAGTGGGAAAACAAGGGAAAGCATTCTTTGCCATTACTGCCTCAGTATCTGAGTTTATAGGTATTCTAGAGAATTGGTTGCAAATAGCTGCTCTCAGATTTTCCTATGATTAGGAGCAGCATGACAACAATGACGGGGATTCCTGATGTATTGTTGTTTGTCTCGTTAGGGCAGATGTCTTGTCCAGATTGCTAGGAAACCTGGTTATGAAGAACAAGAAGGCTCAGTTTGTGGTGACACAGAAGATGCTGCTCTTGCAGTATGGCCACACGGTGAGGACTCTGTGGGAAACACCAGTGTAGTAGTGCCAGGTTTTCCCTGGTGCCAATGTGTTTTTAGCTGAGCTCTTGCTTTTCCTGAGTGAGGTTTAACTCTTCATTCCGAAATGAGCCCTCAGTCTCCCCACATTTGTGCAGCTGTTCACTTACAGCAGAGTGTAACAGAGAGGGAGTGGTGAACAGTAGCTTTGAAATCATGGGATTCATGTGCTTTATTAGTGTTAATGGTGATTAGCAGAATTACTGTACTCCTCTGGAATCAAGTGATTATTTGCACAGAGTTTCAGAATTCTGGAGAGCTGAAAGCATTTAGTTATTTTAGAATCTGAAAGAGTAGATTGAGACAGCCAGGATCCACCCTCGGGGATTAGAATTAGATCAAAGACATGAGACAAGGACTGTTGGGATTTTTTCTGTGCACCTAAGTTTGTCACAGGGTGTTAGGAACTGTACTGTGACTTGTGAAGCTGTTGTGAGAGATGTTCTTTAGACTTCATAAGTTCTATGTTTGCCTGGGACTGTGCTGGTTTTGTTGGTAAAATACTGTTCTGTATTTCTGTCATGGTTTTCTATGTATTTTGTCAGCAACTGCATATGTGTTCTTGCTGGTTTTTTAAAATTTTTTTGCTTTTCTGTCTCTGCATGTTGTCAGCCAGTCCCTCAGAATGAGGTTTAATTGTAGTAAATAAACCCAGACACTTGTCATTGCTGAATGACAGCTTTATGCCCCGTTGAAGCAGAAGTTGTGGTTTTCCTTGCAGACGGCCGTGCTCCAGAACCTCCTCGGCTACCTCTCTCTGGACAGCCTCCGGCGCACCTTGTTGCTCAGAGTAAGGTTCACTGAGTTACTGGTGAGATAACTGGTTACTGGTCTGATCAGGAACAGTGTGCTCTGTTTGTATCTGGGAGTGCATAATTTCGGTGCTTCTCTCAGACTTTGCTTTCATGAGAATGAGGGAAGCCCAGCCATATCCCAGGTGAACTGTGATAAATGAATCAAAACTTTCTTTCTGCACTGCTGGCATTAATTTTTCATATTTAACTGGTAAATTTTCTTCCAAGTAGCAAAACTAGTGAAGCTTGGGTTCTGACAGATGTCCCATGTCCTCTGATCTTCTCACCTTCCTCAGTCACCCTGTTTATGTGGCTGGGCACATGGCAAGAAGGGATCAAGTTGGTGAACAGTTTACCAAATGGTTGATGTTTCAGATTCTCTCATATACATTTTCCTCAGTGGAGATGGCAGATATTTTGCCTCTCCAAGTCAGCAATGTGATGAAACTTCTATGAAATCTTTATGTCTGGAAATCCCTGCCATTTTGTCAAATTACTATTTTTTCCACTGTTTACATGTTCTAAAATGATCTAAAAGTGCTGACAGTTATCTAAAATTGGACTAAACATAGATAAAACCTTATAATATCATACTTTCTTATAACACATATTGCTTTGCATATAGTATTTCTTCAGGAGAAATAAACATCAATTTTAAATTTAAAAACCCATTATATTTAACAATATCTTAAATAAAAGTGCAGTTCTTGGGTGGTCAAACACAGTACGTTTTGGGCCCTGAAATACAGAATTTGTATTTTTTTACTCTCTTTGTACGGAGAGTAAAAATGTGCTTCAAAAATTACCTCTGTATAGAAAAGATCCATTTCAGACCAACCTGAATTATCTGATTTAGGTGCTACAGGAGCTATTGGAGACTTGGAGCAGTGGCAGTGCTGTGAAACACTCCCCAGCTGAGCAGCAGCTGTACATTAGCAAGGCCATCCTCATCTGCCTCTCGCACCTGAAGGAGCCTGAAATTGAGAGCTGCAGACAAGGTGAGGGTATGTGAGAAGCAGGGCTTAGATTTGTTCAGCAGAGTGTCTCACTATGAATAGAAAAATATCTTGTTTTGATCTGTGGATAAGCAGAATTGTCCCACTTTCACCTTGGCAAATGGGGTAACCTTCTGGAATCCTCTTTAGCATTTATATGATAGAATTCCAAGTGCATAACTTTAGATTATGGAATTGAAGAAGGCCTCACTTTGCCTTAAGGTTCTGACATGAGCAGTGATTTAAAAACCCTGAAGTTTTGTCACAGGAAAACAAGGACTAGCTCTGGCACTTGTGAGAGGAATGGTGTGATTTGTAATTTATAGGCTTAACCTTGGAGCATAGGTGCAGCTCCAGAGAAGCAGGGAAGATATCTAGGGGTAAAAAGCTATTAGCTTGATGTCTGACAGTCCATGGGCATTCCTCAGTGTGAAGTGAGCAGGTTAGTCACTGGCATGGACCTCCAGTTCTGTGCTCACACAGTGCATAGCACGCAGGGGTCCTGGCCTAACACCACTTTTTCTGTTGCCATTAAAAAAAAAAAATCCATACAATGTCTAGAATTAATTCTGTGTGTGTGTATGACTTATGGGGATGGGAAGGTTCACTTCAAGACTTGCTCATCTGTTTCATTCTAGCGTTACAGTTCTTTAAGTGAATAAGCGACCTGATACATATTACCAGTTCTGTATAGTTTAATTGTCAGGTTTTTGTGTGACAGCTGTTGAAAAGATAAGCTTTCTGAGATGAAGGAGGTCATTCAAACAGCAGTAAGCCTGCCTGGTGAAGCTGGTAACCAGTATTCCCTGAAGGCTGAGAAATATTTGTGTTATCTGCCTGTTTGAACATATCCAAAGTTAGGCAAATACCTGTATCTATGTGATTGTTGTACTGGTCAGAACTTGTAATGTCCTCAAAACATGACATTTATTTAAGTGACTCTGAAGTGGTCTAAAACCAAACTAAGGATTGATTTACCATCCTTTTTTGTTTCAGTGAAAACCAAAATATTGCAAATTTAGAATATATTGTAACATTTTGTTGACTTTGTGTGGGTTTTCTGTGTTGGTGCTGAAGGGCAGCACTGACACTGCAGGGAAGGAAGCCACAGTTCAGGGACCCTTTCTATCCGTTATTGGGCAGTGAGTGGGTAAAGCTGTCCTCAGGGATACACATAAAGATGGGTGTTTGTTTCTGCCACTGTTTCAGAATTTCAAACATGCACTGCTTGCTGGTTATTTGTTTCAGAGCTTCTGACAAGCATGATGGAGGGTGTGAAATGCCACTTGGACAGCAGTCTGCCACAACTACGGCATCTGGGCATGGTGGTAGCAGAGGCCATCAGCTTGAAAATAAACACTGAGGGGCCTGTCCTGAAGTTTGAGGTGAAGGTTTCAGTGAAATTTATGACTGGTTTGCTGGGCTTAGAGGAGGTAAAAGCTTTAAACCACATGATCCAGGGCATTATAGTCCTTTTTTATCTGGAAGTAAGAAAAGGCAGTCACACCTTCAAAAAGAGATAATCTGTTTACAAAAAAGCAGTTGTATTGTAATGGTCAGGTGGCTGAGAGTTACCTCAGGAGTGCAATCTGCTGGCAGAGGTTGGGATAAACTTGGTAATTAAAGTTTATCTTATTGCATGAGGGAATCAGAATCTGATTTGTAGGAGTTGAGAGGGGGCTTCAAATGTAAAGCAGTGGTGAGCATTCAGTCCCTGACATGGTGGGAAGACCTGTTCTGAGCTGGGATTTTCAAGACTAACATGGAGATATTTGCTCTGCTCTTTCCAGTAGAATTTATGTGACTTATTTGATTAAATCACATTAATTCTTTCCTGTCACATTGCCATTTATTAAATGTTTGAAAGATGGAAATAGCTTTCAGATAAGGTGTCATCAGGCACTACTCTTAAATATAAGGACAAAGATTACAGCTGCCTGTTGCTGTCAGCACAGGGATTGAAACAGGATTGATGAGGGTTCATCTGACCATGATTTAGTCCATGTGCAGTACAAGGATGAAATGTTGAATGCTGAGCATATTTGCAGTAGGTAATAGAGTGCAGCAACAGTTACTCTGTATATCTAGTATGAAGAAGAGGATGAAACAAGAGAATTGAAGTCACTTCTGGTGCAGGCTCCATCATCTTGTATTGTCCCCAGCCTTCCAGATGATGAGTAAGTTATTTCTACTATTCATGCAATCTTCTTGCCCTTCTCCATGCCTTTTTCCCATTACACACAAGAACTATGTACAGTATTCAAGGTGTTTTATGCATTCTTAAACATCATAATGCATCACCTTCTTAAAATGTGATTTAATTACATTTATAATTCAATTGGTAGTGTGTACTAAAATAGTCTGTTGATAGCTGCACGTGGTAAAACTGTGGTGTAGGGGTCTTGTATGCTCTTGTGTAGAATCAAATGGGCATTTCTGTTTGCTTCTTGGAAATCTGGTACTTGTGCTGTATGCCCCCAGCCCATTCACCCATGACAAAAATCTACTGCATCTGTCACTCTAAGGACTGGCTCTTCAGTGCTTGTGTAGCTTCCAGAGCTGAGGCTCTTTGAAGCACTGTTTGATAGCAGAAGAGAGAAGCACTTTATGTTATTAGCAGATGAAGCTGTCCAGCACTCCAGGGAAGTACAAAAGATTTATTGCTCCCATTTTAGGGGCATGATCAGCATAGACAGCTGTTAGAGACAGCTTTTGAGAATCGGAGAGCTGAAAGGATAATGCCAAAGTCCGCAGAAATAGGTGGAGACAGAAAAAATATTCTCAATTGCTGTATTCATCCTATGCAAGACCTAACAATGGTTAAAATTTTTGAAGAGTCATGGAATGGTTTGGGTTGGAAGGGACCTTAAAGTCCATTCCATTCCACCCCCTGCTATGGGCACCTTGGCCTTGAACTTCCAGGTATGAGGCAGCCACAGCTTCTCTGGGCAGCCTGTGCCAGGGCCTCACCACCATCATAGGGAAGAATTTCTTCCTAATATCCAGTCTAAACTTACTCCCAGTTCCGTTTCATTCACAGTTTCAAATCTGATGCAAGTCAATGTGATCTGGTTATTAGTCTTTCCTTAGCAGTCCCAGATATTGTGCAGAGGAACACAGCAAATTAGCCAGTTTAATTTTTTTTATCCATTGCTCTTCTGTTAGAAGATTCTGGTTCTTTCCTCCCCTTACTCCATTCTCCTTTCCAGTGCTTTGTTCTTTGTGTCAGCCAAACTGAATGTGAAACTGCAGCAGGAATAATTATCTGCTGTTCTATTCAGGCAGCAGGGATTGGTAGGGTGGGTAACTTCTTCTTTGTAAGAACTATTACCATATGCATTTTAAAACTTCTTGTTCCTCACAGCAGGAGTGAGAATGCAGGTGCTGCACTGCCACTGGTACTGGAGAATAGTGAGAAATCCCATACAGCAGCCCCTGTGATGCCAGATGAGGAGTCGGATGCTGAGCTTGACAGGTACAGGGCAAGAAACAGGGAGGAAATGGAAAATAAATGGCAGATGTGGGGGAAAAGCATCTGTCTGTACCTGCATTTCTTGGCAATTGTTCTGATTTCTGACCCTGTTCAGCTGAGTGGTTTGCAGCAGAGGAGGGCTTTGCATAGGAAATTACATTAGTTAATACATTAGGCAATGCCTGCGTTGTGTGCAGCCACTGTATTTGTTCTGTTTGACTTAGATATCTATTTCCTGGAAATCGTGAATGCATTTACCCATTTTAACAGTGGATCTGCTTTATTCTGTCACTATATAAAGAAGTATATATAAATATATGTATATATATAACGAAATCTCAAGAGTCGGTGTCTAGTCTCTTGGTCAGCTAACGCCTTCCTGTACTTGACCAGGAGATCCAGTTCCAGATCTGGTCACAGAACTGCTCTTTCCCTAGAACTCTCAGGGACCCCTCTCAGGCCAGGCTTCAGCAGTGCTGCTGAGTGATACAGGAGTGATGAGGTTATGACAGTGTACGCACTGGTTCTTTCTCTTTGTGTGGCTGTCTGGGAAAGCAAGAACATCTGCACCCCATAAACTAACCTGTGCCTTTTTTTTTCTTCTACAGTGATGATGATCTCATCCCTTATGACATGTCTGAGGATAAAGAGCTAAAAATTAAGGCTCCTGTGTATATCCGAGACTGTATTGAGGGTAGGAGATTTTGGGCTGAGTCTTTATCTGTTTCTTACTGAGCTTGAGAGAGTGAACTCTGTGTAGGTTTATTTTTTCTGATCTAATTGAAGAAGCTATAGAATTTTTGAGTCATTTCAGTTTAGTTCCTAATGCTGGTCATGCTGAGTGTCTGTACCAAGACAAATGATTGGCAGAAGGAAATCTGGTATATAGCCAAACATAGCCATTCTGTTAATAACTTTTGTTTGTCCTTTGATTTCAGTTCTGACTGGATCAAGAGCTGAAGATGTGGACAAATGGGAAGCTACAGTCAAGGCCCTTGAGAGCTTGGTACGGAAGAATCCAGCAGCAACAAGAGAGGTGAAGTATTATGGTCTAGGTTACTAGAGGGCTGTATTGCCAGAGAGGTTATCCCTTTGCTGTCATGCGGAGACTAAACATGCCAGTGAAGCAGAAGGCCAGGCTAATGTGTAGCTGGCTTAAAGGTATACATTCACAAGCTTTCAACTTGGAAGTAGAAGGAAATAGGTGCCTTGAAGGTGAGGCTATAGAGCACAATGGAACAGAGAAGCAGCAAAAGTGCTGGCAGCACCCTGCCATATTGCAGCTCCAGTGCTCAAAATGGAACATCCTACAAGTAGTGCTTGCCAGTGTGAGGAAGCTCCAGGCTTTGTGCTGGGCAGGAAAAATACTAGAAATGCAGATTACAGAGCAGCCATTTTGGATTTTGAATTGAAATTCAATTTAATTGTTATTCCCCAATGAAAACAGAGGCAAAATCAAATGTGCTTTCCCTGTTTGCTTCTACAAGCATAATGTCTTGTGGAGGGAGTAGTTAGATTGTTCTGGTCAAGATGAAAAGCTCAGGGGAGAGGAACATGGGACAAGGTCACTGTGCGCAGAGTGCTCACCACTACCTGCTAGTGAACGTTTGAATGTGTCAGAGACAGGAGCTGAGAAAGAGAAGGGCTGTGCTACTGTACCCTTTAACCCATCTGTTACAATGACAATTCATTCTATGTCATGATGCTACACTTCTCCACAAAGCCCGGGTGAAATGTGGACAGAGAATTGGCAGATGGAGGATCTGTTCAGGATTTTGTGAAATAAGTCTGATGGCATTTGGTGGCTTAATGTATTTTCTCTCCCTCCTAAGGATTGAACATGTTGCCTAAACAGAATACCTCATTTTCTTTGTTTAAACATTAGAAGTGATCTATAATTCCTATGAGGAAAAAACCCAAACACCATCAGGGTTTTGATTCCTTTTTTCATATTTTGAGCAGGTTAGTGTGGAGCTGGCAAAAATATTACTTCATCTGGAGGAGAAGACCTGCATTGAAGGCTTTGTGGAGCTCCGTCAAAGAGCTCAAGTAGCTGTTTTAACCACAGACCCAATACCTGTGAGTTCTTCTTACTATTTTCTTTTTTCCAGTTGAGGCACAGGCAAAAATTGAAGCAGCTAAAGTCTCTTTCTCATTTGATAGAGGGAGCTGTCAGAGTGGTAGAACAGATAGTTCAGGTCTGACAACATTTATGCTTCTGAAGAATCTGCAAGGAATTACTGAACCAATAGGAAAAAGAAAACCCTGTCAGACTGGAGGAACTGTTTGGGAGCTGTTGGTTTGCGTGTACCTGACAAGGCAGATCAGATAAACGACTTGTTGTACTGAAGGGTTTCACATAGAGGGAAACTGAGGCACAAAGGGCTTCTACAGAGAAAGACCTGACTGGTGACTGTAATTAGGGAATCACAGACTGTTTTGGGTGGGAAAGGATCTTTAAAGCCCATCTCATTTCAACCCCCTGCCATGGGCAGGGGCACCTTTCACTATCCCAGGTTGCTCCAAGCCCCATCCAACCTGCCTTGGGCATTTCCAGGGATCCAGGGGCAGCCACAGATTCTCTGGGCCAGTGCCTCACCACCCTCACAGGTGGTGTATTCCTTCCTAATGTCCAATCTAGATCTATCCTCTGCCAGTTCAACACCATTATCCTTCATGCTGGCCAGGCCCCAGTAAAAAATGTCCCTCCATTTTTCCTATAATGCTCTTTAAGTACTGAAAGGCCACAGTGAGGTCTCCTAGCTGCTGTGGTAGATGTTTGGGTACCTCTGCATTGAAGTGAGAGAAGAATGATGCAGTCTCATCTGTCATTTAGTTCTTTTGGGAGAACCTAGAACTGGAAGTGTCTGAATTTCCCATTTACACTGCATGTTTCCTCCCTTCTCTTGGAGGCTTGCTGTTACCTAACAGGAAGCAGAACCTGTGAAATTAAATGCTTTTAGAGTTAATGGGAAGGCTGTTTCTAGCCTGGGTCTGTGTTTATTGTACCCTGATTTTTTTATACAGGTTGCAAAGTACTTGACCTCCCAGTTCTACTCTCTGAACTACAGTCTCCGTCAGCGCATGGACATCCTTGATGTGAGTGCTCTCACTTCCCACTTTATTTCTGTCTGTTGCACCAGTGCTGAGGTGTAATGGGATTACCTTTTATGCCTCATGGGAGAAGGCAGAAGTATGGGAATCTCTTACATTACTATTTGTGTCTGGCATTCCCCTCTTGTTCCTAACCCTGCTACACTCCATCACACAGGGATACCTCCCCACAGAATGCAGAGCATGTGTTGGGCATTTGCCTGGGAAAAGCCACTGTTTATTTTCACATCACCAGTCTGTTTTATCTTCCCTTTCTGAAAGACAGCAATCTGTCTGTGACTCCTTCCACACTTGTGTCTGAAGAAGGAGCCACTGCTCTATTTCAGGGCTAAGTGACCAAGTGCTTGGTCAGTACCTCAGAGCCAGGTGGCTGGTAGAGGTCAATTTCCTGCTGTTCTTCACTCTGAAATTGTTGTGCCTTTCTGCCTTGTTGCTCCTGTCAGTTTGGATGCTGGCGACACTGTTGTTGTTCCCTCTGGATTGCCCTTTTTTAACTGAGCCTCTCTCTGTTTTATCTAGATATTGGTTTTGGCAGCTCAGGAACTGTCCTGTCCCATATTCCATGGGAAGACCAAGCATTCTGGTGCCCAAAAGCCTTGTATCCAGCTCCTTTCAGGTAGTGACAGCTCTAAGGGCTGGAGGAGAATTGTTGATGAGAGGATCAAAAGCAAGACTCGGAGATTTGATATGGTGAGGCCAGAAGCAAACTAATGTCAAATCCACCAAAAATAGGGACATTTGGAGTTACTCTACGTTCTGTCTGGAAAGAGCAAAATACCTGTGAAAGTGGACCCAATCCAAAGGAGAGTCAGATAAATATATATTTGAAGTTACAGAGTCTGAGTTTTTTGGTGCAGAGTACCAACTCCTGTAGTTCTCTCCCAGCAGGAGAAGTCGTTAAACCTGAAATTCCTTACCTGGCTTTGAGGGATAATTGTTGTTCTGAGCTTGTGTGGCCACTGCAGGGAGCTGTGACTGCACCTCACAGATCGCAAGGCTTCCATCAGACTAGCTGCCTCTCTGGACTACACTGTCTCATCCTTCCTATTTTCCAGAGAGATAAACTGATGCCAGTTTCCTAGTTTCCAGAATTCCCCTGTGGTTCAGCCTGGAGAGTTTGCCTTCCAAAACTCCTTTATCCCTTGCATGTTCTTGTTCCTTATAGCTAACTGAGCAGTACTGAGGCATATTGTATTGAAATGTTTAGATGTGGATAAGATCCGAAGTGGGAAGTGAGCAATCTATTCGGGAAACTGGTAGCCCTAGGTGTACAAGCAGTGGTTGATGATGGGCTGGCTGTAAGGAATCTGTAGTCTTGACAGTGTCCAGTGAAATGGAAGAGCTAGGGGTGCTGTATCTTGTGCCTAGACTTTATTTTTCTCTTGGACAGGGTCAGTCTCGTGTGGAACTTGCTTCCCGCCCAAACGAATTCAATTCTGTTGCTGGGTATTTCTTTTTCCCATTGATTCAGCACTTTGACAGGTGAGTGTGACCACCTTAGGATGTAGGATGTGGGCATGGCAGCTGCCAGAGTGACCCTTTCTGCTTGTCCTGCTGGCCTCAGAGCCCAGGAGCTGTGCAGGAGCCCAGTGACACCACACTGACACCTGGGTCCTTCACAAAGCCTGGGGAGGAGAGGGTTGTAGTCTGTTGGACTTACCCTTTGAAGTCTTGTGGGGCAGGAGAATGTAGGACCCTGCAGAAGTGAAGATCCATCAGCAGGTACACAGGCAAGTAATTCTGGAAGTACTACTCCAGTTGTCTTGGCTGAGCCTCTACTGTGGGAGGTTCACACAAACCACAGAGCTCAGACTGCAGTCTTGAATTAAAGTTAGCTCTGTCTCAGGTTGGGCCTATCACCTGCACTGGTCTTTGAGGCCACAGTATAGGGACACCGGACATAGTTTATTGTCGGTCCCTTAGGTCTTTGTGAACCGAAGGAAGGCTGAGTAATTGGTTCCCTGATAACCAAGATTATTGTAATACCAGTTGTAATGGTATGGCAATGGGGGGATAGCTTTTGCCTATAGGTCTTTCCAAGTAAAGCCTGTTGGTAGAATGTGTGATACCTGCTGTAGGAATAGAGGATATTGCTCTGGGAGATATTGGGAGATTACATCTGGGACGAGAGGAAACAGCTCTGATCTCTGTTAACCTGGTAGTGCCTGTATAATGACTATTGTTGTAGGGATTCAGGCTTTTGGGGACAATTCCCCCTGCATAACCTCCTAACTGTTGCAAAGAGGCACTGATCAGCCTTCTCACTGCTACACAACTCTGTGTCTTGCACTTGCAGGCCTTTAACAACATTTGATCTTCTGGGGGAAGATCACTTAGTCCTTGGAAGACTGGTCCACACTTTAGCAATCCTGATGTACTTGGCTGTCAACACTGTGGTAAGGAAGGGCAGAGAGCAGGGATGACTTCCAGCCTGGGAACCTGAGGTGCCTTCTGGAACAGCCATGTGCTTCAGGGCCTGTTGCACTGAGACTGGCAGCAAGTTGGAGTTGAGTGGGCTGAGAAATGGCTGGGAAGAACTGGTCAGAAAAGAGACGTGGGATTCCAGCCACCCTTGCACTATCTTTTGCTTCTTGTCTACTTCTTGGGGGCGTTGGGCACATTATTTTACTTACTGCCAAAGTTTCTCCATCTGTAAAATAAATTCAGTTGTAGCACTGATCTTTACAAAGCCTTTGTTCAAGCATTTGGACACCACTCCCAGGCACATGATGGGATTATTGGGATGTCCTGTGCAGAGAAGGAGTTGGATTCATGACCCTTATGGGTGACTTCCAGCTTAAGACATGCTGTGATTTGATGAGCAGTATGTCTCGATGCCCAGCTCTACAGGGCAGTGTGGATGGTGTTCAGTGGTGCTGTCACAATCTTCTTTTGCAGGCAGTAACAGCAATGGGAAAGGCACTGCTGGAGTTTGTTTGGGCGCTGCGTTTCCACACAGACTCGTGAGTTACTGTAGTTGTATGCTCTCATTTTTAAAGATCAACTGTGAGCCAGCCTCCATAGTTTGTCTTTGTCTGAGATAAGCATCTGGCTCAGAGTGTCAGTGACTTAAGACATTTACTTTGTGCTGTCCTCCAGCTTTGTGTTCTTATGACTGAGTTTAATGCAAACCCACCATATGAACTTTGATGGTGTCTTCTAGTGTGGCAGTACAGCCATTACCTATAGAAAGGTTGTCAAATTTCCTGACCACATGTCCATGTGATAGTTTCATCTATGTTTACTTAGGGAGCTCAGAAAACTTTAGATTCAATTCCAGCATTCAATCTTGGAAAGGAATTAAGACATGTAGCCAAAAGTCTGTAAACATCCAATTTCTGTTTTCTCTCTGATGTGTCCGGGACTCTGAATTGTGCTAGGTTCCTGTGCACAGCATGGCAGGGGCTCTGTATGTGGGGCACACTGCAAGATTGCCCCCCTAAGCAGCAGGAATATAGCATAAGTCATCATGCTGTTTGAAACTGGAGAGCCCTTGAGGTGAGAAAGTCAATGCAGAGCATAAAGCTGCAGGCTCCTAACCAGTTCAGTGTTTCTCCACAGGTATGTGCGCCAGGGCCTTTTGTCCTGTATCTCCTCCCTTCTCCTCAGTGTCCCTATGGAGCATATTCTGGGAGACATGACAGAGGAGCTGTTGGAGACTCAGTCCTGGCTGGGAGGTAAGACATGGTAGGGTACATCAGTGCTTTTCTGGTTTCTGAAGTCTTTGTGCAGCATCTCTTTAATTGTGATGGCAGCAGTGATGTCCTGGCATTGTGCACCAGAGATCTGCATGATCAGCAAGCAGAGCACGACGTGTGCTATAGGGATGCAGCACTGGAGTACTTGAGGCATAAGCGAAAAGCTAGGTATGGCATTACACACTGTGACTGTCCTCACAGGCCACCCAGAAAAATCCCCAAAGACAGACTGTGCCCCCTTTCTCTGTCTGAGCAGCCAACCAGAAACTTCATGAAGCTGCAGGAAGTGTTGTCATGTTGCCTGTTACACCCAGACAGTGACTTCGGCCAGCAGTAACACACAAAGCCTGTACAGCCTGTTTACACTATGTGCTCATGAGGGTTGTGTTGTTAGAGCTAAAAGCAGGAGGAAGAGGAACATGGCCTAGTCTCTAGTTTCCTATTGTCGATGGAAAGAAAAATCTACAAAAGACAGCAAATTACTTTGAATGCTGTACCCAGCACACGTTACGTCAACACAAGCTGTGTCTGTGGGTTATGGCAGGCTGGAGCTGTACAGATCAGTGCTCAGGTACTGCAGTGAGCTGAAGGGAAAAGAACTAATGCTGAAGCCTTCAGTGTGTTCTGAGGGCGAGTCTTGTGATTCCCTGGTCTGGTTTCCTTCACCATTCTCACTCTTGGTGAGTTGCTTCCCACAGGGAGCAAGCAGGAAGCAACACTGACCCAGCTGGCCTCGGATCCTGGCAGGTTGGGGTGCTCTGTGCCCTTTGAAAGGAAGAGAGCTGCCATGTGGGGCCGAAGACTTCTTTTTCCCATGACACAATGTGCTCTCAGCAATCTGCTTGTCTTTGCATTTAACACTGCTGTTACCAAGCGAAGCCTTTCAGGAATGTATTTCCAGCATGAGGGTTTGCATAATCTGTTTTCAGTGAGTTATTTTGGGGAGGAGGAGCATGACCAAGATAATAGCATCTTCTCATGCTTGTAGGTAGAGTAATAGCCCTGTCTAGTGCTTTTGCATGAAAGCTGCATGGTTATTCCTGGTGGGAATGAGAGCAGGATAAAATAACTGTTGTGGGTATACCAGAGAAAGGAAAATTGCTGTAGGAGTCATTCAGAAGCCTTAAAGAATTCAGCTTCACATACGGTCAGGTGCAATTTGCAATTTAAAGGGCTTCTAGAGCTGCTTCCTGAAACACACCAGCTTCTTGGGCTGCGCCTTTACTATTTATTGTAAGGCTGTTGGGGGAACAGTTGCACAGGGAGGTACTAGGCCCTCCCGGCTGCTCCAACAGCTCAAGTCTGGCACTAGGGACCTGCCTCTGTGACTGAATCACAGATCTGAGCTCATGGACTTGGCTGTTGCTTCACGTCGCTTCCAGACAAGATTTGCAAGAGGTGTCATGTATTAGCTGTGCTGTAGCTAGGAATGACAAACTGTCCTGCATGAGAGCCTTGACTACTATGCCTTTTAGCCACTTCAGGTTTCAGCTTAAAGCATCTGTGTTTCTCTGCCATGGCCAAAGCACAGTGAGAACAGTGGGATAGTGGCACATGAAGTGCTTAGTAGAAATCCACAGACCTCTTTCAGTTTGTTGTTCCATCAGGACCTCTTCAAACTGCTCTAGTGTGTCCTATGACTGACTGTTGGCCCTTCAACCTGTTGGCTGCAGCCCTGGTACTATCTACTTACTGGATGCTTTGGGACATATCAGCTATGGAGAGAGGCGAGAATCCACTTTGGACTTGTCCATCATTGCCCTTAATTGCCATGCTGGACTTGCTGCTGAGCAGCCTGATCCTTCCTGGGGGAGGGAGGGAATATCTAAACGCTTCTAGGAAATGGTCCCTTTGATTCCTCAGCAGCTGCCTTTGAGGGAATTCCCCACCCCTTGCAAGTGCTGTGCAGCTAGGTCACGGGTAAGTGTGGTTTATGACAGGGCCAACAGGACACTCTAGTGCTTTGTGCCTCCATGCAGTGCCAGCAGTGCCAGATCCATGCTCATGGAACAAAAACAGCACCAAAAGCACTCTGAGCTTTTGAGCTTGTTCCAGTCTGCCTTGTAACCTCCCTTTTTGCCTTCTGCAGAGGGAGTATGGAAGCACCAGGGTGCAGCTCTCCCTGTATTATAAATAGCCCTGCTCCAGTGACATGAGTCATGTGTTTGGTCTGACAGTGCCAGGCTCCCAGCACACTGCTCGTGCGTACAGGATATCCTCACACAGGCTCCCTGTTCTTCCAGGCTCCCCTGCTCAGACATCCTGCATGCATCCTGGTTGTTACTTTGCAGGCCCATTAAGGGCCCCTGGAATAACAGCTGCTGGGAACAGCCTCACACTGCCCTTGTGTGGAACTCGTTTATCAGAAGACTGGTCTCAGAGTGGAGAATAAGCTGAACCTTGGGGCCTGTCTCCTTTCCCCATTGGAATGGCATCATGACCCCAAATTCAGGAAGGAACACTAACCATTTTAGATTGCAAGAATGACAGAGTAGAGACTTCAGACTTTGGAGAAAGTGGATTTCTAGCTGCAGACTTCATTCACACGTGCAGCTCAAGGTGACAAGTACAAATTCTGGCACAGAGATTATCCCATGGGATCCAAGGTCAGGCAGTTTCTGTAATGTTTCAGACCAACTGACTGTTTGTTTCTCTTGCAAGTCTGGAGCAATACCCCATGTGGCAGTCAGGGCTTGGCTGAATTTATGCTGCTTTACATGATCAAGTTTATGCATCTCTGCCTTCTGGCCTAGTGCAGTTCCTGCAAGTCCAGTCCAGCTGTAGGTGCAAACACTGTTCAGTTCTGTGATTGTCAGTAAAACAGTGAGAAGTGTTAAGGGCACTTTTCTCCATTCTCCAATTAACAGCGGCTGTTTCTTTTGCAGATGTGATGGAGAAAGATCCTGATGGGGACTGCAGAAGGCTGGCCCTACAAAACTTGCTGCTAATGGAGAACCTGAAAAAGAAACTTGAAGCTGTTCCTTCCTAGCTGAAGGGTAACAGAAATGACCTTTACCTTGTGCTCTTGCCAGCTGGATGTATTTGGGCACTGCTGGGGCCTCTTCAGCAGTCACCTGACTGTAGGAGAGGAAGAAGGGGGAAGGGTGCTGAGCTGTAAGCCAGCGAGCCTGACTTGACATCTGGACTTTGTAGTGGAGGCCAACTGAGTGAGCTCTGGGTATCCGGTACAGCATGTACAGATGCAGGAAGGCAGGCGAGTCCTGCCATCCTCACACGCCCCCAGCCCCCAGCCCCCACCCCAGCTATTTATAACCTTGGCAGGTCCGAGCACTCGGCTAAAAATACAGGGAAGATCTTACAGAGCCTTCTTGTCAGAAAAACAGCAGGGCTAGGGAGGGCCACTTGCCACTATGACCTGCACCTTACAAAGGCTCCCGTGTCCCCAAGCAGCTGGAGTGTGCGGGAGCAGCCATTTGTCTGCTGCTGGAAGGGATGGCATGGTGGAAGGAATGGCACTGCTGATGGGATGCAAGCACTGGACAGCTACACTGAAGTGCTGAAAAGTGTGCCAGACTTTAAAGGTCTAAGCTAGAGCTGGGCTGTGGTTAGGAAGGAATAGGTCAGGGAGTTATTTTTGTATAATCTTAGTACAGAAGTAAGTTTCTACTAAAGAATTTCTAATTCTAATTTCTACTAAAGAAAATTAATGTTCAGATTTTGACCTTAAAATCTCCCCAACCCTTCTTCCCTGAAAGCAATTTAGAAACTTCATGTTCAAGTTTTGAAGCAAGTCAGAAAACATGAAAAAGAATTCTAAGTGTAATAGCTGGCTGGTAAGAAACAGGAGTGACCTGATACCCCTTGGCAGGGCAGGGTGACAAGCAGAGAGATGAGCAGAACCTTGGTTTTTACACTGAGCTTCACTTCTCTTCAGTCCTGCTTGTGCCAGGGAAGAAATTGGCCTCCAAAAATCTGACCAGTACAGAGTGACTTGATGTAACTGGTGTTTGGAGAAGGAGCTTCAAAGTAAGAAAGAAGCTTCACTTGCTCAGAGTGACCAGCTTGAGCAGGGGTTGGGCCAGGGGGCATCCAGGATCCCTTCTAACCAAGGCATTCTGTGACTCTGAGATTTACTTATAGATGTTTGTAAATGGTTGCTCTATCCCACATGATCCTCTGATGTATTTAAACACAGAAGCTTTTGTTTGGGAAACTCTGCCTTCAGCTGCAGGACTGGGTATTTTGACTATTAACCAAGCTTCTACCCAAATGGGATGGAGATTGTTTTCAGAAGGTCTCACTTCTAGGGAATCACAGATGGGCACCTTAGCAGATCAGAGTTGTACTTGAAAGGCAATTCGCAGTTTCCACCTCGGTTATTCAGCTCTTCTGTACTGAGAAAGAAGTGAAGTTACAATATGCAGTTCTTACTGGTTTTTTCTGCCTCAAATTTATTAAAATACTAAAACCAGCTTTCTAACAGGATGTACATGTGAATCGTTGTATGCTGTGCTTGAGAGAATATATTAACTCTAACACTGTTGCTTGTACAGTCAAGCAGGAAAAATAAATTTCTTGGTAATAACCAAAAAGTTGTGTGGCAACAGCATGTGACTGATCTGGGCCCCCTAATGAGGATGGAATAAATGAGCTGGCAATAAAGTCAGCTTTGCATTTGGTAAGTGCTCATTGTCAGGAGTCCTCCACTTCATCAGCCACTTCCTCCTCCCTGTCGTCCGTGCTGCTGTGGGCAGTGTGTGCTGAGGCCAGGGCTTGGCTCATGGGAACACCAGCTCCTTGGTGCACAGCCTCCATGGTCTGTGGGGACACATAGTAGCTCAGGTTTGCAGCTGGAATTCTTTTCTGCATCTCTTCCAGGTAGTGATAAGCCTAAAGGAATGCAGAGATCAGTGTCAGAGGGTGCACTGCCACAGGGGCCCTATTAAACCATTTCTTGTGCTTTGCACATTAAAAGTGAAGTTCATCAGCACAGCTGGAGGAACTTGCACTTGGCACCCTCATGTTTCATTGGAGCAGCAGGCACTGGACCTGTTCAGGGGGTGTGTGGCACATCTGTCCTGAAGCAGGGATTCACTATTTCCTCAAGTAACTGCTATTTTACAGTTTTCTTCTCTGGCCAGGTGGCAAACACAGCGTGGTGGCATTGCTGAGGCACGCACCCAGACCCTCTGTTCTCATTGAATCACTGGGAATGCTTAAGAATCTACCACCATTTATGCTCTGTGTCCTGTGAGCTTTCCTTTTGTCTTCTCTTCCCACAGAATGAAAAATAGGATAAAGTTCCTGAGCTGTGCCTCACCCTGCTGCATCTTTAGGCTCCTACCATGAAACATCTTCCTGCATGAGAGCCATGTTCCACTAAGCTGCACAGGTGGACAGTATGGGTTCTGTAGATTAGAAGAATTAAGACCACTTACTGTATGGAATTCCTCCACTTGTGTATAATGCTGAACCAAAAATCCCAGGACATCACCATGCCGGATGGCATCGTCGAAGTCCTGTTCAGCCAGGAGCAGCTGACACTGCCTGACTGCTTCTTCAGCGTCTTCAGAGTAAACTCTAGGAGAGGGCAAAAGGGAAGTGTCACAGCCCAGGGAGAGCATGCAGCTTATCCGGCAAACAAAACCCAGAAACTCCCCTTTTCCTGAGGCTGATTGGCCAGCATGGGCAATGAGGGAAGGGGAGATTCTGCCCCTCTGCCCTGCTCAGATGAGATCCCCACCTGCTGAGGTCCCTCCAGCCCTGCAGTCCCAGCACTGAAGGGACATGGAGCTGCTGGAGTGAGTCCAGAGGAGGCCATGAAGGTGTTCCAAGGGTTGGAGCCATCTGGACCCAGGCTGGGAGAGCTGGGGGTGTTCACCTGGAGAGGAGAAGGCTCCAGGGAGACCTCAGAGCCCCTTCCGGGGCCTAAAAAGGAGCTCCAGGAGAGCTGGAGAAGACTGGGGACAAGGGATGGAGGGACAGGACACAGGAAATGGCTTCCCACTGCCAGAGGGCAGAGATGGATGGGATATGGGAAAGGAATTGTTCCCTGTGAGGGTGGGAAGGCCCTGGCACAGATTGTCCAGAGAAGCTGTGGCTGCCCCTGGATCCCTGGCAGTGTCCAAGGTCAGGTTGGATGGGGCTTGGAACAACATGGGGTAGTGGAAGGTGTCCCTGCCTATAGCAGGCTTTTTGAACAAGATGGTCTTTTAAGTTCCTTCCCACCCAAACCAGTCTGTGATTCTGTGATTTTTATTATAATCACCTTTCTGGTTATACCTCTGGTCTATCTCCTTCTCTTTCAGGTTACCTTACCATCTTTAATGCAACGTTTTAAATGCACTTTTAAAAATCATATTATGGTTTCCCTGCTAGAAAAATGTACCTATTTCCAGCAAGCTTCAAATTATTTATTAAATTTTAGGTGCTGTTACAACTTCTGTTCTAGTATGGTATTTCTGTCACTTAGTTTCTGTGCTCTCCATGCTGCAGCTCACCTCTGAGCATGAATGAACTGCTTCATCAGACTCATCCTGCTCTGCAGGTGGCCAAGTTTGCTTTCCTGTTCCACAGGGCTTCTGGCCTTTGCTTTGGAAAGGCACTTGTATGCTTCTGTCAGTGCTCTGTGGGCTTTTTCATAGTTCCGGTACTCATCGATTTCTACCTGCAAGAGGAGAAAGGAGACGGTCTTGCCCCAGAGCTAATAAACCAAACACCTTCAGCAGTCACAGAAAGGGCCGTACCTGAGCACATGCATCATAGAAACCTGCCAGGAGGTCAAGGGCCCCTCCTTTGGTGTAGAAGCTGATGATATTCGCAATAATCTTTGCGTCCTTACGCCAGTCCAGTGACTGCAGGTAGTTGGCTGCCATAATGTAAATTTCTCTCTGTCTGGAAACTCCCGCAAAGAAGATAATTTTCTCAGTATCTCCAGATTTCAGCAATGCCCTCATAGCCTGGCAAGGAAAAGAGTGGCACAGAGGGAGAGAGGGAAAGTACTGTAAATGCAAAAACACCATCAAGATGGCTCAGAGGTTTCATCTAGGCAGTTACTGTAAGAAGTCTGCTTCAAGGTTTACTTTTCAAAACACTTGCTTTGAGGCTAGCCAGGCTGACCTTTAACTTGTTTCCTGCTTGTGTGTATTTCTTGGTGGCCAGGTGGTAGTTGCCTTGTCTCATGCAGCAGTCAGCAATTTGCTCCAGCAGCTCCCTCCGGGACTCCTCAGAGAGATCCTGGGACTCCTTGGAGACTGTCATCTTCTCAGCCATCTCCTCGGTGATGGTCAGGTTCTGCTCCAGGCAGAGCTGCAGAGCTTCATGGTACTGATGGGAGCAAGAGAGCAAAGAGATGTTGCAAACACTATCATGATACATTGCATTTACTTGTGGTGTAAGGTACAGCAATCAGCTAGGAACATAAGCAGCTGAGGATGCTCTGTCTGGAACACTGGGATGTAGTTACATGTGTCAACATCAGCCCCTGAACATCAGTTCAGGCACACACTGTTTGCTAATAAGAACATGTTTGTTCTTCCATGACACCACTGGTCTCACACAAGAATGCCACTAAAGAGTCAGCCATTTTGACTCTCAGCATGAGTTTCAGAGACATACAAGTCAGGTTTGTTAGGCATAATCCATAATAACATTTTTAGCAAATACAAATAAATTGAAAGATTTTGTTAAATATTTTGGTACTTTCCATATATGAACAAATTTTGAATAGGCTATACAAAAGCTTGTAGTGCAGAAAAGGGGTATGGTACCTTTGCAAAATGTGGAAGAAAGCCAGCCATAGGAGCTTGTTAAAGAGGAGTGAGCACAGCACTGGTCTGGTACCCAGTATTTGGGTAAGGCTAAGCTGCCAGTGTCCCTGAATCACTGGTTTAAGAGGAATCTTGAAACTTTACAAGTGTTTCTTATATCTGTTTACCTGCATAGATGAATGGCTGTGCACAGGTACACACCAATTGTGCTCCTCTACCTGTGCACAGGGGATCAGAGGGCTCAGCTCACCTTCTTGGCCGTGAGCAGCAGCTCCATTGCCTTCTCATACTGAGCATGCTCAATGAAGAACCCAGAGCAGCGAGTGAGCAGGGATGGATCGGACTTCTCATCCAGGTCCTCAGCAATGAGCTGCAGGGCCCCGAATTGCTGCGTGGTGAAGGCCAGCTCCAGGGCTTTGGAGAAGTGTCCTGCCTGCAAAATTAGGAATGAGGCTTAAAAGACTAGAATGAGCACTACAGAGCCAGGACACCCTGGAGTGGCTTAATAAAGCATTACTCACCATGAAAAAATGGCTAATAAACAGGACCTAGTAAGCACCACAGCTGATTTAACATTCCTCTGCTGTAGGAACTGCTTCAGTGTAAAGTTCGGGGGTTTTTAGTAAAAAGCATTTACCTTGTGGTATAACATAACGGCTCTGTCCATTTGATCCCCCTTTTCCTCATAATAGCAGGCTGCCTCTATCATGTCTTCTGGTGAGCTCAGGAGAGCCAGGTTCATCAGCTGATCATCTAAATTATTTGCCTGTTCAAAAGCAAAGGTTTGGCGCTGGGTGTGCACACACAAATTTCATAATTCCAACTTCTGGCAAGCCTGTGGCTTTATACTGTCACATAGTATTAAACTCCCTCCCCCTCCTGTGTAAAACCTCTGCAACCCAAAGTGATTTTTAGCTTTGATTATGATTATTTCTTTCAGGGAGTTTCTGATGAGCTGTTTAAGAAAATATATTTCCAAACCACCAAGCCTTTATCGATCCACCTTTGGTAGAAGAGGTCAGCAGAAACCAGGAGCAGCTACATCACAAGGCTGTCCAAGAACAGGCAGTGTCTTATGGGACAGAATGGGCACAAACAGACACCTTGTAGCACCAAAGGGCTGAAGCGTGTGCTGGTGTGGGCACGCAGTACCTTGCACAAGCGGATGGCGTTGTTGAACGCCTGGGCCCGGCTGTAGAAGTGCACGGCCTGCTTGATGTCCTCCTGACTCTCGTACTGCCGCGCCAGGTGATAGGAGGCTGCCCCATTCCCTGTTTCGTTTGCTATTTCAGCAGCCTGCAGAGGGAATTGCACAGCTTTACTTTGTGTCTATGCTCCTCCCAGGAATGAGAACTCTGGAAGCAGGTGGAAGCAGTCTGCCTTACCTTCTGAATGTTGCCTTGAAAGCAGTGGACACGGACCAGGGAAAAATAATCCTGAGCCAGTGCATAGTATTTTAATGCAGATTCCATGTCTGACTGGCTCTCCAAGTACTGTGCCCACCACTTCCAGAGGCTCCTGGAAAAGCAACAGTATTAACTGCAGCACAAGAACTTCCTGATGCTGTTTTTCACTCCTAGAGAGCTTGAACTGAAGACTGAACACACTGTTTAGAACACATTCTTTATCTCAACCCAAGTGTGACACTCCCAAGTTCTGCATTATGTAAGTCAGCCTGGATAACCAATATGGCAGTTCTTGAGCAAGTGCAGCATAAACCTGAAAAGGGTCATAGTGGATAAGGCAGGGGTTGAATGAGACTGAGAGGATTCACACTCTCTCATCCTCAGCCTCATCACAAATTGTATGTCAGACCTGACAGC